CACAAATAGACAAAGATGAACTCGAGTAAAAGTAACAGACTGACTTTTCTACTTGGCTTAAATTATTAAAAATAAAAGTACTTGCAGAGTGGAGCCTATAGACTGTAACAATGACCGCCCACTGTCATGGCTCTGGTTCTGGAATTCAATTTCCCATTCATTTTCTACACTGACTTTTTAGAAAGTCCTTATAAAAAGAGATTCAAGCCTTGAACCAGGCCGACCAGCTACGAGATGAATCCTGATAAAATATTTGATTCAGAGCAAAAAGAAAAAAATGGTACAATGCAAAGGTATGAGACTGTATAGAATTATGTGTGAAGGAACTACACATCCCATAAACCACTGCGAATGATCCAGCGCTTCTACTTGAATTTAAGCTTGTTGCAGTGATTACAACCCTTTGGACTCTCTTCCTCATCTCAAAAAAAAGCAGCATGTCGTTATGCAATGCTGAATGGTCCGACTGTAGCCGACATGATTTTCATGTGATAAACATTTCCATGTTAACGGCAAGCTCCGCCAATAACAGATGTCTCTATTATACCTGAGGCTTATGGGTAGTGTAGTGCTTCTCTTTAAATCTATAATTCAATCTTGTTGCTTGTGGTAAATCTACCTTGGATGGTTAGAGTATTGCAGCTGATAATCAAAATCTATATTCAGAAAATTAATGGGATTCTTACTTCAAGACCAGACAGTTGCAACAGTCTGCTGCATCATTACGGCGGGGAGGCGTGGTCTAACGCTACCTTCAGACGCTGATTGGATCAATGGACCAAATCCTGTCTAATTATTGATCACTTTAAAAGAATATTTTAAAATAATGTAACGCATTGTATTATAAAAATGTAATGTAGTAGAAAATCTACATTTTTGATGATATATGTAGTGGAGTAAAAGTGAAAAGTACTTGAAAGTATAGCAACTTAAGCAAAGTACAGATAAAATATGTACTAACATTCTACCACAGTACTGATGCCAATGCTTTCTGCTCTTGTTTCACACTCCTCTGCACACCTATGCAGGTCACACAGGGCCATGCCTGCATCATTGTCTCACCCTGTTAGCTTTCATTAATGCCAATTGATTGATTCATGTCTGGCATGACTATTTTTTGGCTTTGATTATCCATACAGGAGGAAATATGCGCTCACAAATCTTTTCCAGCATAAAATGTCAAAGCAGAGAAAAGCTGCAGCTGGGAGCATGAGCAGACAAGGTGAGACTGACTCATTAACCACCAGAGTGTTTTTCTTCTCTGATGAACAGGCACTGTTTAGTCATCCTCCCAAGTATACGTGGACCCAAGAGAATTTTCATCCTCTCTCCAGACTTAACACTCAACTCTCCTAATGCTTCAGACTTCCCTCCACTGTGCTTTGTTAGTTTTGCCGTGAACATAAAATACTGGCATAGGATGGCATTGCACATTGTGAAATGGAAAATGTAGTGTCCTGCCATTGTGCATCGTGCCAAATAGGCTTTAACGATGCCATTGGGTTCATGTTCTGTCAATGGTTCTTCTGCTTTCATCAAACACTCCTACTTAAAAAATGTTCAAGTTTTTACAACCGCTTCTTTTGCAGAGCAGTGATGCCTCACTTAGAAAAACATCAGGAACTTGACCTAAAGACATTGAACATTGATGCCGTCTAAATTAAAAAAAAACTTTGATTTGGATTTCAAAACATAAAACTGGTGTCTAACTCACTCTTTCTTTTTCTTTTTTTTTTTGAAGAGACAGTCAGCTCGTGGGTTTCCCCCTCGCCTCTTGTCTCTTTTTTATCCCAGGACTTGTGTCTGTGCCAGCACACAAAACAGAGAATGCACACACACACACACACACACACATACACACACACACAGTGAGACTGTATTCTCAATACACACTCCTTTTGTTATACTCACAGATTCTCGATCTACAGTAAAACATTCTTTGTTGCGTAAATGTCTAATCTGTGTTTGGAGCTGCCAGGAGCTGCTCCTCAGAGCCAGAATCCACAATTTATCTGGTCTATTGGTTTCATGTTTTTGAATCTCCTACTTCTGTCTTACTACAAAGCTATCATTCAAGAGAAATGAGACCTTACTCCATCACAGCACTGGAGAGCGATGTTTTGATGTGGGGTCTGTGAAAAATGATTGGGTGTTTGGGAAATGATTAAGAAGATCTAAAGGGCAGGTATGTATAATTCGGGGTGTGCAAAGTTTACAAGACCCTGACGAATGAAATGTTTTTGTTTGCAAGGAAGCTGAAGAGGAAGTAGACATGCAGATGAGAACTCCTGTCTCCTCATGTTGTCTCCTCTGTTTTGCCCACAAAATAAATCCCTCTAAAACCCACAATGTTACTCAGATTAAAAGGAATACATTAACATATACAGCATATTTGTTCAAATACAAAGAATTTATATTAATTTATATTAATTTCAAGCTGACGTAACAAGTTGTAATCGAAGGATAAATGACCTTTAAAACTACAACTCTTTGGGGAGGGATGAAAGTGTGACTTCAAGAAACTTCCTGTGCAACAGCTCCTGGTCTTTAACTTTTTACATACAAGTTCATGACGAAAGAAAACATTGTGTGATTCTATAAAATATGACACGTTTTTACTGATTAAACCAGTGTTTTCTAACCTGGATTTGCTCTTACTCTGATATCTTTTACATCTTTTACTCGTAACGGAGTATTTCTTAATTGTCTTATTAGTTATTTGACCAAAAAACTGAATTGCGCCACTGATTGATTTTCTCCCGCTGACATTTCCATCCTGACACTTGAGGAAAGTGGATGCAGAAAATAGGCCTGAAGAAATGGCACTGAGACAGAAACCGTCCTTGTCTCACTGGGGCATTTTTAGTCAAAGATTATTCTGACTGAAAGTTCTCATATGTAACAAAGCTGCCAGCTTCAGATACATCACCATGTTTTTGGTTAGCGGACACTTTGAGGGAGTGAGGCCTCGTGCAGGAGTTGTTGTGAGATTAGTGCGGTGTAGGTATAAAGCCGCACTAAACACAGGGCTCAGGCCATAATTTGCCCCATATATCTAACCACGTAACCATTATATGGCTAAGTGGTCAGTTTTGAGTGGTGAGTTTACTCTTGATGTAAATATCTTCTTACCCTCTGAGGAGAATCTACTTATTTGGCAGAGAAAACATTTAACACCTTTAAAGTGTGCACATAATGAGATGAGGGTAAGCTGGGACGTAACTGCTTGGCTGAGAACTGGTTGATATGCTTAATCATGGTTATACAGCACATGTAGATACAGTCTGTACACTGAATGCACCAAAGAGGTGGGATTCTGCAGTGCTTTTCTTTTTGCTTAATGCCCATCATAGAGAGACGCCTCCATCTGAGTGATAAATAAGGGTCTGTTGGAGTGTGAATACAGATATGGACCATGTGGTGTCACAGGTGGCCTTCTTCTTCAAGTTGAACTGACTTTTTAACAATTTTTGCCAACTAACCACCAGGATATTAACACAGCGCCTCACGACAATAGCTCACTCTGTAACAGCAAAGGTCACCGCCTGTCATGTATATTCAAGACGGTCCAAGTTTACAGTAACCACCGGGCGTTCACGTTCAAACTCGTCTCTCACACAGTCGCATGTGTTCACAACCACTGTGGCGTTTGTTTACTGTGTTTAAAACTGACTTTTACTGGGCAGTTTATGGAAGTCTGCACCCCCCACCGGAGCAGCCATATGACACATTATAAAAGACAGCTGCCATTTTTGGCTCTTCTTGAGACGACGGCAGCAAGGGCTAGTGTCTGATGCTCACTGTGGATTGAACAAAATTGTATTTTTCTTTAAGTAGGTTCACATGATTAAGTCACATGTATGAACTGCTTTTTCACACTGTATTAATACACAATAGTGTTATTTAATATTCTACTTAACCATGGCCTCTGAGAAATAAATTGCTTCATGCTGTTAGTTTGTTGGTTGGCTGATAAAGTAGCCTTGATTGGAAGTTGAGTAGGTTAAGAATGATTTGATAAAAGCTGGGCCGTCTTCCCAGAGGGAGCGGAGCTTAAATCACTCAAGGTCCACACACTAGACTTTTTGTTAGTTTGTGCGGACTTGCATAGAATCTGAGCAAATCATCTCAAGTTAATAACTTAATAAAATTTAATTTCATCCTCACATTACTAACATTTTTTCAATGGGATGCAGAAAACACCATGTGTTGAAATCACAATATTTTTTCACATTATAGTTTTTTTTTATGTCAGCTTCTTTGTAGGGTATCACACAATCATTTGGGAATATGCACCACAGTCTGATACTAAGGACAATATAGTATATTAAAGTGACACAGAACCCCCCAAGCAACTTTATAGCCAAATATTTCATTTTGAATGCATGTTTAGAACACCCTAATGATAAAATAAAGACACATTAAACAATAAATTGTCATTATAATTTTTTGTTTCACATTTTAAATGATCAACTTTTCCATGAGGAGTTAAATTATGATGAGATGGCAAAGCTAAATACAAATGCTGCTGGTATTGTCAAGGCAATTGTATCAATGCAGCACAAAATCACCAGGCTAGAGTTCAATATCATGGCCACTGGGTTATAAATAATATACAGCACATTGGTGGTAGCAGCATTTGGGGATATTTTATAAAGTGGTGCAAATTCTGGGTGCAGGTTAGCACTGTTGCCTCACAGCAAAAAGGTCTTCACACCTAAGCTCATATATTTATATACATATATATATGTAAATCTTTGAGCAGTGAAACTGGAGGCGTGAAACTTTCTCTCAACTTTTCCTCCCTCCGTCGGCCAATAACGGGGCTGCCTCTCATGTATGGCCTGCTCTGATTTGTCCAGGCCTCCTGTCCGCTGTGTGAAAGACAGCCCGGGGGGGGAGAAGACTTTTTTTTTGGTGTGTGTGTGTGTGTTGCCCCGTTGGACTTGAAAGGGGGGGGTCTCTATGTGACGACTGAGGGAGGGGGCAGCACTTCGGGATCGGAGGGAGCAGCGGTGCAGGACAGTCGAGTGGAGCAGAGAGGAGAGGAGCAGTGCGGGAGAAGACGGTGTCAGCCATCCGTCAGCCAACTGGAGGAACCCCACACTCACAAACCCCTTATGGCTGCTTGAGAGATAACGATACACCCCCCCTCCCCCTTTCTCTCTCTTTCTCTGGGACTTTTTTGGACTTTTCTTTTTAAAGTTGTTGTCCAAGAAGTTGCTGCGCGTCAAAGTAGTTGAAAGTTGAGAAAAAAGTGAATCCACTTGCCGTGGACGTCTCTGGCGGTCATGGATACCCATATAAGATGGAAAGTTAAACGGAGGTTAAGGGACGCCCAGATCACTTTAGCGGTGATTCTGCTTTTTGTCACATCGCAAGCAAGTTCAGGTAAGACGCAGCTGGGGAGGGTTTGTGGATGCAGATTGTTTTTGGAGTTGCGCTGCGCTGCGCGTAAAAGTTTGTTTTCTCTGTCTTTTGGGTCATAGTGGACCACCCCTCCTCCTCCTCAAATCATCTTTGTGCCCTTTTTAATGTATTCAACGTGGTCTGCACAAAACCACGGGGCTGTGGTGCTAGTGTGAAAAGACTGCGAGTAACTGGGAGAAAGCTCTTTCTTGTAGAATGGAATTGGCCACTTCTGTCTGTGATCTGAATAAGGAGCAACCCTGCAGTGAGGTGTGCATTTGCAAAAGCATCAGAAAACGATAAGATCTGCACCTGAATAGCAAAAAGATCAACTTGCGGTGGCAAAGTTTACAAGCATAAGAAAGTGAAATAATAAACCTTCTGCTCCAGCCAGACAAATAGAATGTATTTCCCAGATGTCACTTTAAGATGAAATTCGTTTTTCTCTTGCATTCTGCAGACTCGTCACTGTACTATAATAGTAATTTTGCTGTGGTGCAGCTGAAGCAGCTTTTTTCAATCTTTTTTCTTTTTTCTTTTTTTCAACTGATGAGAGGGATGAGCATAAGAGGGAGGGGCTGGAGCTTGTCTGAAGTGGCAGGGTGGAGCTGCCTTCAAGGACTGGGACACCATGATCAGGACACAGCCTCTAAAGCAGTGGGCCCTATATACTAAGACTGCAACAAACTTATATTTCACTAATTATGTTCTATAGAATCTCCACGTCTTCCCAGTGACACATATGTAACAGGATATGAATGTAAAAGTTTGGAATTTGTAACTTAAAAACAGTTAAAACCCAGTCCGAAGGTAGATTGATGGAAGAAGCGATTCTTTAAAAATAATCATGTACTCGTGTGGGACTGTTGTGTCCCATAGATTCTCAGGCGTCATGCTTTGCTGTGGCAGTGGGGCTGGGGTCTGGTCCTGCATGTATTATTAGCACCTTAAGACCGCCTGGCATTGTTGGTGGTCCGCTGTGAGTCTCTGACACGGGACTTTGAGGTGAACAGGTGGCTTCTTCTGTCTGTGCAGGACAGTTGGAAACTGTTGGTGCGGACCGTGTAATGTGGCTGCCTTAAGCCAGAGAATTTGAAATAATGATTATGAAACACAGATGGAGCTGAAATGGTTTTACAGGCTCATATTTTTTCTTGCTGTCAAATGTAAATGAGGGAATCAGTGTAGCTTGTTGGTTGTAAGCTCAACACAAACATGGTCATCATATAGGCTAACGGTTGGTCCCAGATCTGGGTCATTTTTGATGACAGAGGGGGAGCTGGAGAGGTATTTAGGTGGGACACTACAGAGCATGGAAATGATTGTGATGCTCAGGGCTGGAGTTAATCAGCTCTTAAAACTGACAAAGAGCAGCCAGAGTCTTGTAAGTGATTTTTCAGGGGGCTGGTACACTTCCTGCAACTTGACAAATGCTGAATGAGAAACACTTGATGACTGAGCGTGAGCAATGTGCCAACTACAAGACAGGTTTCATGCAAACTAATTAGATTGAATGTAAATGAGCAAAGCAAGACAGTTAAACTTGAAATATCATGGTGTTGGCTAGAATAAAAAATTGTATGCAAGATTTGCACGTGTCTTCTCCATCATTGTGGGAAAATAGCAATTGCTGACAATTAGCCAGTTTGTCAGCACTGAAGATTCATGGAGGACCTGGATATACTGTGTTGTATGGATGTGTCAACCATGCAGTATATTTGCATTCCAATTTAGAATAGTAAGATAAGCATTGAACAAAGTATTAAGATTTAATTGAATATTTCGCGCTTTACTAAATTAGACATCTAGTGACTGAATAACACTGACATAGTTTATAGAGTTGATGTTGCATCTTTTCTTTTTATTTATATTTTAGATCTATTTTCTTCATTTACCATATACTTTGTGTATTGGGTCCAATAACTATTTCCATTATGGATACAATTCAAAATGGTTAAAACAACCAGATTTGCTCCAAGTGTAACTGTTAAATCAAACCACATTTAATAAATAATTAAGATAAATATTCACTCTCCTTTTATCTCTGCTTTGGTCTCCACCAACTATATAGAGGAAAATCTCCAGGTCTATAGTTTGCTAAATGTTGCACCGTGCTAACACGCTGGTTGCTAACTTTGCCTGTGCACCATTTGGTGTTTGTGCACAGTTGGTTTATTCCAGCTTGTCACTGGAAACACTTGTACGCTACTGATTTATACAAGAACAGAGACCAAGACAAGAACCGCAACAGGAAACAAAAAGTGCTAAATGCTAAAATGCTCTGTAGAGCGGACTGTGGTGAACATCTGCAGTGGCTTTGTTACTATGAGTCACTCATTTCACATCAAGCAGCCATTTGTTTCTATTAAACATAGATGAGTGCAGTTTTAAGGTTGTACTGGGCCACTGACCCTCAGAATGACTGGTCTGCAGTGAAATTAACCCAGGCCTGCTCCCCTGCAAAGTTCTAATGGAGTAGTATGTAATACTCTAAGATAGTATTTTAGCCACTGATAAACCAGAGAGTAATAGAGAAAATATATTAAAATAGGCCTCTAACACTACAGCATATTCTCAAAGTTCCTAGTTCAAAGCAACCTGAGGTCAAAGAGGTTTAACAGAGAGAGTGAGGGAAGTCAGAGTCCTGGCATTAAAGAGGAAACCTCATTTTAAACATATGTGAATAGTGGTAATAACAGAAGGCTCACAAGACATGGAGGTTAAGAATGAAAAGAGGGGTTGGAGTTCAAAGGTGAAGGTCAGGACATTGGGATTGCCACTGCTGTCAGGTTTACAGTTTCAGTGCCTGAAGATACGAATTCTTGCTGCGGCTCCTAGTGTCAGTAAATCCTCCGTTGGCTGGTGGAGGTCACAAAGATAATGAGTTGATTGGTTGGCTGTCAATGTTTCTTGTGCTTTGTATAGAACCTCTTTTTTGCTCGTAAACAGTCCCATTGGGGAGTTTTGTACTTTAGCCTAAGATTCAGAATTATCTTGATTTAGTTAATAATGGTGTATCATCAGTCAAATGTCCAGCTAGTAGACATTTTCATCCATTTAAGTGTAATGTAATGCCCTGGCCTCCCAGTGTGGGACCTCAGTAGTTGAGTAGATTAACGATCAGCATTTCTGCTGTGGACCAAATCTGGCTTCTTCTCCAGAAGGTTTCCTTTATGTTTCTGCTGAGTTGATTTTCTCCCAACTTCCTTCAAATCAATGGACTCTTTTCACGACTCTTGGAACGTCTGTTTTGACTCTTTTTTTGCTGTGGTTTGTTATCATTAATTAACCAAATCTTTATGGGATGGTCTTCGTCCATAACAAATATTCACACAGGACCAGAACCTACCTGTACGGAGTACTTTAGTCATCAAAAATACTGAGAAAACATTCTTTGAATACCATGTGCAAATGATAACAAGGATGGATTTTGGCCAAAGTCACTGATGGTAACAGAAGACAGAGTTGTATAGGTGCGCAAAATAAAAAAATAAAAAGCTAGTCTAAACTTAAGAAGCTGATATTTGTTTTATCCTCATGTACGTTTTAATGGGATAAACAGAAGAAAGCCTCGCTGTTTCACCGATCGCCTTCACATCTGGATTCGATGAGTTCCATTGTGCTGTCTGCTAAGCCCTCTAAAAAGCCAGCGAAATGTCTTCCAGATGTTTTCTTCCCATTCTTGGTGAAACAGGGGACCATGAAAAAAATTTCTTAAGGAAATACACCGTTCTGGGCTGGTTTTAGTGAAAGATTCTTAATCAAATAACATCTGCAGCCTTATAGCTGAGTTAGTACCTTTGCAATTTAGCCAGGTTTGCGCACACACACTTTCAGGGTCATTAAAAGGTTCTTTCTGTTGAAGTGAGTCGACTTTATGACAAGGTTAAAGGTCGGATACACCTGGTCCACAGCTGTTTCTGTATTTACAGTCTCTTTATATCTGGACAACGCTCTTTCTTAAGGAATTTATAGGGCTCAGCCAATTCAGCCTTTTCTGCCACCATGTGTTGAGTTCTTCATGTGGCCAATTTAAAAAGCTTAAAGATGTGATTGCATGCAGAACTTTCCGTATGATATCTTTTTCTTTTCTTCAGACAATGCTAACAGCTAGTTAGCCCTGAATGAGGCTGCAGACACAGACATACCTTTGCATTACTATAGCTTTTAGAGCCAATACTACCATTGCTCTTTTCTATAGTTAATCATCTTTCAGTCAGACATGTTACTCAGCTGGGATTTCAGTGGGTGGTTTCTTAATCACCTTTAAGTGGGGATCCCGAGGTCCAGGTCCAGCTCAGTCAGATAAGTGGCAGTGAGAAACAAAATTGGCGTCTTGTGTGTGCCTATATTGCCGTGGAAGGAATCTGAGCTAGCTGGACTGTGGAGAGAAGCAGTGACCCTGCATTGCATGTGCCACTTCACCCTGTAAATGCAGACTTTTTGGAAAGGACTCTGTAAATAAGCCTCTAATGCCTGATAACAACATTGGAGATAGAACAAAATATGCAGGACAAGGTTTTGACCCCGTGTTAGAGTTGAGGAGATTCTTTGTTCGCTACGAATAGTGCATTATTTGCCACATCCTGAACAGGATATCATCTATCCCTTTCCAGACTCATTAAGGGTGAAATAATTGTTTCGCACTGCTCAATGGTCCTCTGTGCTCATGACACAGTGGATTTTGAAGCCGGGTGCAGATGGTTTTCTCTAAAAGGTGTTTCTTGCACAAATCTTTCATCTGTTAGAGACACCCAGACAGAGATGAATCATTTCAGCTTTAGACAGAAAGGGCTGATGTGTTCTTTACCCTTACAAAAAGGAACAAAATGGATGCAGTCCCATTTGAAATGTCAACAGGGACACATCAGTGATGTAAAAAGTTGAAAGTGTTACCTCATGATGCAACTCCTACCCCTGCAGTTGATTTTTTAACAGTATGCTTTGTATAAAGTGCATGGCTTGAGTGAAACGTTTAGTCT